TCATGAAACAAAATGTGCATGAACTACTCTACTGGAGGAAAATGAATTTGCTCCATGAACTTTCACCCAAATCACGATAAAATTATTATTAAAAAAAAAAAAAAACTGTCCTTAGTGAACCCATATCAATAAACTGAGACTGATCCAACTTTATGTTTATCTCACACCCTGACCAGCCATTCCCACATATACTCCAGGTTTCTTTTTGTACATATTGGAAAAATCAAGCAGCTCTTTTGGGATATAGTATACCTCTTCTGGGTCAAACCTTCTACTTCACCTTTTGGGGCCCACTGGGACTTAAGCCTAGTTCTAGGTCTAGAAGCAAAAGTGGGTGGTGGGTACAGGTACTGAGGATATTCAGTAATGTCTTTGCTCGAAATTTTTCTTTTAGAAGGATCAGAACAAGGCTGGTCCCCTTGAGGCAGAGTTAAATTTATGTCCCAAATGTCCAACTTTTCCAAATTGCTGTTCCACTCCATCATCTCTAACATCGACTACTTCTCCTCCCCTCAGTACTTGCCTTCCCATCTAAGGGTCCCATATTTTGCTGTACCATATCATAGAACTCATGAGGAAATGGCTCACGCAGTTGTGAGGCTCACAAGTTCCAAATCTATGGGTCAGGCATCAGTCTGGGGGATTCATCTCACTCATGTGGTTTCAGTGACCAGTGAACCCTTATCAGCAGGTCAGATCAGGTGCACCTTGAGACTTGAGACTGGCTTCTGTCTCAAGTCCCAAGAAATGGAAGTCAGATGATGATGGACCAGGTGGAGAATCCAGAGCAAGAGGGCAAACTTAGCTGGAGCATTTACATGTGTTGGATACAGACCACACCTTCAAGGAAACTAAGGGTAGTAGCCTGAGTCATACCATCTAGGAAGATGATGACTCAAGATACATCCCACTCTAATCCTGCCTCATTAACATAAAGGACAACTCACTCCAGAATGGGATCATAACCACAGGCATAGAGAATAAGATTTACAGTACAGTACATCACAAAATGAAGGACTATGTCTAGAAGTGCCATATTAAGTAATACACTGCACTGCACAAATTATGAATAACATTGTGAAGAATGGGAATTCAAAGACACTTAATTGTGCACATGAGGAACCTGTACATAGACCAAGAAGCAGTCATTCGAACAGAACAATGGGATACTGCATGGTTTAAAATCAGGAAGATGTGCATCAAGGTTGTATCTTTTCACCATGCTTATTCAATCTGTATGTTTAGCAAATAATCCAAAAAGCTGGACTATATGAAGAAAAATGTGATATCAGATAAACTAATTAAAATATTTTAATAAGTAGGTGACATTATTAGACATATTCTAACCTTGCTTGCTGAAAGTAAAGACTTGAAGCACTTAGTGATGAAGATCAAACACTACAGCCTTCAGTATGAATTACACCTCCACATAAAGAAAACAAAAATCTTTGCAACTGGATCAATAAGCAACGTCATGATTAATGGAGAAAAGATTGAAGTTGTCAAGGATTTCATTTTACTTGGATCTGCAATCAACGCCCATGGAAACAGCAGTAAGGAATCAGACAACGTATTACATTGGGCAAATCTGCTGCAAAAAGACCTCTTTAAAGTGTTAAAAAGATGTCACTTTGAGGACTAAAGTGTGCCTGATCCAAATCATGATATTTTCTTTTTCTTTCTTTCTTTTTTTTTTTTTTATTAGGATTTGGGTGAAGATTTACAGAGTAAATTCACTTTTCATACAGCAGTTCACATATACTTTGTCTCATGTCATTGACCAAAATTTACAATGCAGCAGCTCCCCTCCCACTTCCTCCCCATAGTTACCTCCTCCCAGTGTCCATCCCTTCATACTCTTCTGCACCCTGAGCTATCTCCCTGTGCATAAGCAGCCCTTCCTTCTCCCACAAATCATGATATTTTCAATCACCTGTTATGCATGTGAAAGCTGGACAATGAATTGATGCCTTTGAATTATGGTGTTGGCAAAGAACATTGAATATACCATAGATTGCCGGAAGACCAAACAAATCTGTCTTGGAGGAAGTACAACCAGAATGCTCCTTAAAAACAAGAATGGTGAGACTTGGTCTTATGTGCTTTGGACATGTTATCAGGAGGGACCAGTCCCTAGAGAAGGACATCATGTTTCAAAAAGTAGAGGGTCAGTGAAAAAGAAAAAGACCTTCAATGAGATGGGTTGACACAGTGGCTGCTACAATGTGCTCAACCATAGTAACGATTGTGATGATGGTGCAGGTGTGCCATCCTGCATCCATGGGCAGCATTTTGTTCTGTTGTACATAGGGTCACTATGAGTCTGAACCAACTCAACAGCACTCAACAGCAAAGATAAGGAAGTCCTCCTGGGCTGGCATCTATTCTGCCCCAAAAGTTGACTTTTAATTCTTTTTTCTTTGTAAAGATAGTAAGAGTGATCATTTGTTCCAAAACTATCATAGTCTGAAAATGTGTGTGCTTCTCAAAGGTAGAGGCTTGTATACAGTGGTGAAAGTCTAAATTGAAGGCACTAAGCTCCAAACTGGAATTTGGGTGTCCAACAAATGCACTGAGCTGGTGCTGGTGTTTTACATAGGCATAGTGCCTAAGGCATTTGACTGCTAACCAGAAGGCTGGCAGTTCAAACTCACCAGCCACTCCTCAGAAGAAAGACTGGGCAATCCTCTTCTGTAGAGATACTGCCTCAGAAACCCAAGGAGGGGTCACTATGAATAGAATTTGACTAGACAGCAGTGAGTTTGGTTTTGGTTTTGGTTTTCTAGTTACAAGTCTAAGCCGGTTTTTTCTACAGGGGTCATTACACTGGGCTGTGTGTTAAATGGAGGTCACTAATGTTAAATTTTGAACACTGATTTACTGAGCTAAGATCTGCACTGGCTCATTCAGTCACTACCAGACCCACATGGCCACTGAGCACTTAAGATATGTCTGCTTTGATCTGAGATGGGCGTGAGTGTAAGACACATACCGGGTTTTTAAGACTTACTATTTAAAAATAAAAGGCAGAGGGGGGATATTCCATTAATAATTTTTATACTTATTGAATATAGAAATGATAATAATTTTTTAGGAGCTCTGGTAGCATAGTGGTTAAAACGTTTGACTGTGAACCAAAAGGAGGTTGATAGTTCGAACCCACCAGCCGCTCCATGGAAGAAGGATGAGTCAGTCTGCTTCCGCAAAAATTTATAGCCTTGGAAACCATATGGGGTAATTCTGTTCTGTCCTACAGGGTCACTGTGAATCAGAATCAACTTGATGGCAGTGGGTTTAGGTGTTTTTTGTTTGTTTGTTTGTTTTGATTTCTTTTTACCTTTTATAATATGGCTAGTAGGAAATTTAGCATTACTAACAAGGCTTACATTATATTTCTATAGGACAGTTCTTATTTAGATAGTACCACACTGGGCAGGCTCCAATTAAGCTCAGTCTGAGTGCCCCCATGATGTGAAATTGGCCAAGAACCTTAGAAATACCAGATGACTGGGTTCAGTAGTAGTCCATCTGGTCACACAACCTCCAATAATGTGCCCTTGATAACAAAGTTCCAGAGGCTAACAGCATGCTGATTCCTCACTTGTTCTGTAGAAGATCCTTCTGACTTTACCTGCCCATGATTTTATCATGAGCGCTCATATTTCCACACAGTCCCTTCCTAGAAGTCCCCATACCTTGAATAGTGTAATAGAAAGAGGCAGCCAAAGACGTTCTTTGAGGGACAGACATGCTCCAAGTATTATATCTCTGGGTCTTCGTAAAATCAGGACCCCAAGCCTGTGTATTACACTCATGGCTTTGGAGTCTTCTGTTGATGATGATGTCACCAAACTCTTTTGATGATATCAACATTAGAAAGTTAGGGTCATAATGACACAGCTTCCATGAGGTTTCTCTCGTGGTCACCAGGTGATTGGACTTTGTCTAGGGTGAAATAGTAAAGGACATTTTAAAACATCCTTCTGCTTTTAGTTTCCTTTGTTGTGCCATGATTAAAGCACTCAGCTGTTATCAAAAAAGTTGGAGGCATGAACCCACCAGCCGCTCTGTGGGAGAAAGATGTGGCAGTTTGCTTCTGTAAAGATGACAGCCTTGGAAGTCCTATGGGGCAGTTCTACTTTGTCTGAAAGGGTCACTATGAGTTGAAATTGACTCAACAGCAATGGTTTATTTTGTTGTACCTCCTTGCTTTCTTCATGACTGATTCTTACATATGGAGAGATGTTTGGAATGGTGTGTGAGAGCTTATGGATAGGATAGAGAAGAAGAACAATATCTGTGTCTTCCTTCACTCTCTTTTAAGCTCTGCCACATTACCCCAGGGAGAGAGAATCCCATCTCATACTTCCTTAACATCTTTACTAAGGAGTTATTTTTCTGATGATCAGAATATATGATTTCATGTTGTAAGATCTACCAGATGCAGGAAACCACAGAGAAGAAAATGATAACTAAATATAGTTCCACCTCGTCAATTGAAACCATAGTGTGTATTTTATTTCTTTGTCCCTTCCCCTTTTAGAATAATCTCCTCTTATTGAAAAAGTAACCCATATGCAGGGTAAAATAAAAAGTCTATAACGTGCACCAAATCTTCTACCTCAGCACAACTCTCCACCCCACACCCAGAAGCAAACACAGCACGGCCCTCAGGTTTTATTCCATAACTCTTTTGTTTAAATGTTGTTGTTGGGTGTTGTCAAGTCAACTCCAATTCATACCAATCCTAGAAGACAGAGGAGAATTACCCATAGGGTTTCCAAGGCTGTAAATCTTGAAGGAAGCAAAGCCCAAACCAAACCCATTGCCCATAGAGTCGATTCTGACTCATAGCACCCCTAGAGGACAGAGTTGAACTGCCTCATAGGGTTTCCAAGGCTTTCATCTTTAAGGGAGCTATCACCAGATGTTCTACCACAGAGCTGATGAGTGGGTTTGAACCACTGACCTTTCAGTTGGCAGCCAAGTGTTTTACCCACTGTACCACCAGGGCTGCTTTCTGTACATCTGGACGGCAACTTTGGTGCATGGTTCTCTTCAGCTTCTTGGGTACTTCACTTGGGATTTCTGAAGATGCTCCATCACACCGCAGGTGCTTGAGCTCATTCTTCTCTCCAGGCATTCACTCCTGGGTCCAGGGTCCATGTGAATGCCTTTTCTCCCTGGCATGGCCTCATGTGTTACTGAGTGTTCCATGAGCACAAGGGCAGGAGCTGTGGGTACCAACACCGTGGCTCAGGGTTGGATGCACAGTTTCCACCTCAGCCCTGCCACTCACAGGCTGGTACCCTCTGTGCCTCTGTTTCCCCACTGAGGAAATAATGAACAATGACACCCAACTCACAGGGTTGCTGTAAGAGTTGAGCAAGTTAGGGCATAAACAGGGCTAAGGATAGAATCAGACACAGTGAGCAGCTACACTTCTAGCACCTGTCATTGTCCCTGAATCTCGTAGAGTGCCTGGCACAGAGAATGTTCACCAAATATTTACTCAGTGAATAGAGAAGTCCCCCAGCTTATACTTGCAGACAATTCTCCGTCAAGCCGATGTCTGGGCAGAACAACAGAGAGTGCTGATGGCTGTTAAGCCTCTCACTCCTCTCTTCCTTTTGCCCCATAGCTGGGCAAGCCAGTTATAGCCTAGGTGCTCCCTCCCGTGGTACCAGAGGAAAGTCCAAACCACCCAGGTCCCTTCCCACCCTCAGAACTTCCCCCCAGCCCCTGCTCTGCCTCCACCACTCCCCTACCACCACCATGCCCTGCCCCGTCCTGGCCTGGCTTGGCTCCTGTCCCACTCATGCCAGCCTAGTTCCAGTTCAATGCCAGAAAGCCTCATTATGTGAGTGGTCAACTGTGTCCTATCCTCTTGGTATAGATGTGGCATCACCAGTCTCAATGTGTCTTGGGTGGGGTCCGTGGTGCTTCTGCAGGGTGGGAAGGAGAAGGTAGAGAGACAGGCAGCCAAGGTGTCACCAGGCAGGTCCAGACAAGGCTGAACTCTTCCAGGGTATTCAGGGTCAGGGATGAATTCATGCACTGAGCTGGGCACAAGGGCATCTTGGGGAGACAGCAGTCATTAAAGTCAGATGTCTCCAGTTTCAGGCAGTTATATGGACCATGGGTACAGGTTGTGAGGCCTAGCACCCTAGAGCCCAGGTCTCAGGCCCAAGCTTGGCTCTGAACTCCACAACCCAGATGGCCACAGGGCCAAGGCCTCAGCAGTGAAAGGGCCTGTGTCACCAGCCCAGGGCCAGAAGTGAAGCAGACGTGGTGCAGACAGGCCCCAGAGGAGAGAAAAGGCAACTGGGCCATGCAGGCACTAGGCCCTGTGCCTCACCCATCCAGGATCTGACAGGTCATCCGATGGAATGCTGACCCCAAATGCTCAGACACTATTGACACACACTCTAAACCAAGGGCTAGTCACCTGAGGTGAGCAGGTAAGCAGCCCTCTGATAATAATACTCAACCCCCCCACCCCCACGAAGACTCGTACAGTGGCATTCCAAGCACACAGAACATGTGTACATAGAAACAGACAGCAAGTGCAGCCATTTGTGCCGTCTATTGTAGATACAGATACAGATATACCAGGAGAGAAACAGAGCTAGACAGAGAGATAGGGATAAAGACAGAGGTAGAGCTAGAGATAGGTATAGGTACAAAGATTTCAAATTATTTCCCTGGGAAATCATTTTACATGACTGGAATGATGATGTGTATACCTCATTTTTATACAAGTAACAGCCACGATATGTGGGTATTTGCAAACTGCACAACTCCCTCACATTAGTTTCCTATGCATGCTATTCATGTTGTGTGTGTGTGCACATCATTTATATGGACATGTTATATGTAAAAAATATGCTACTGTTTTCTGTGTGGCTTCTTTCATTCCGCATAACTATTTTGAGAAACATCCACACTGTTGCGAGTATTAAGTTTCTCCCCTTTTCTATGCGGGCAAAGTAACACACACACAACTCACAGAGTTGTTTCCAAACAGTGTTCATGATTCTTTGTTCATCACAAGGTCTGGGGGAACGTTAGGACCAGTAGGCTATGTCCCATCACCTATCCTGCTGGAATTGCAGCTGTGGTTATGTTAAGTTCACAGACTCATTTGTAGAGAATTAGTACTCTTATCATGTTGAATCTTCTCATCCAAGGACATGGTATATGTCTCCATTTATTCAAATCTTCTTCAGGAAAAGATGATAGTTTCTCATACAAGGCTCATTTTAGCACACTTCCTGCTACTGTTATGAGTAAGATCTTTTTTATGGCGTTTCTGGAGATGTAGATACCCATTGTTGTGGATTGGATTATGTCACCTAAGAATATGTGTTGAAATCCTAACTCCTGCTCCTGTAAATAGGGGTTTGTTATGTTAATGAGGTCATGTAAAAGTAGGGTGGGTCCTAGACCAAAGCCCTTCTGAGCTATAAAAACAGCCGAATAGACACAGAGACACATGGGAGAGACAGATGCTGAAGAATGCCATGGGACACCAGGGATCTCTACAGTCAGCAGAAACTAGGAGAGAGGTTCACAGAAGGAAAAGACAAGGTTGAGACCCTGATTTGGGCTTCCAGCCTCCAGAACTATGAGAAAATAAATTTCTCTTCCTTGTGGTATTTCTGTTATGGCAGCACTAGGAGACTGAGACAGAATTTGGTACCAAAGAGTGGGGATGCTGCTCTAACAGATACCTAAAGTACGGTTGTGATTTTGGAATTGGACAATGCATTGTTGTTGTTCTTGTTGTTATGTGCTGTCGAGTCAGACCCAACTCATAGCGACCCCTCCTTGGGTTGCCAAGGCAGTATCACTACGGAAGTAGATTGCCCCATCTTCCTTCTGAGGAGTGGCTGGCGGGCCAGAAATTTTTGATGTGGTTGATAGTCAAAGCCTAGAAGAGCAAACGCCTTGAAGAGACTACTGGTAGAATTGTGGACATTAAGGGAGATTCTGATGGTGGCTCAGGCCCCAGAGCTCCAACAACCTCCAATGGATCATCTCTGGCCTCCAGCTTCCCACATGTGTCTCCATGGTGCATCCGTCCTTGTCTTCTTTCCCAGGTTTTTCCATCATGGCCAATTTTTGCTTCCCAGCCACTTTGGGTATGTTTTAAGAAATTCAGAAAGAGGAAAATTCTATGATTCTGCTGCATGATACCATTTTTATCTAAAAGTCAAGATGATTTCTGAGATATTTAAAATTTCTTCCCTAATTTCCCTCATTCCCTTTTCCCACTCAGGCAGTGTTGGGTTCTGTGATTGGAGAAATTTGATTGTAGGAAAGGTGAGATGCTGGGACTGAAGCTTGAGTGGCTGTAGGGTCAAAAGTGTGTGTGTATGTGTGTGTGGTATTTGTATGTGTATGTCTGTGCTATGTGAATGTGTATGTATATGTATGTGTGTTTCTCTGTGAGTTTATGTGGTATGAGTGTACATGTATGTTTGAGTGTGTGTGGTATACATGTATGAATGTGTGTGTGTGTGTGCATGTGTATGTGTGTATATGAGTATGTATTTATCTGTGGGACCTTGTGTATACTTGCTGTATGTGTGATTGTGTGGTATATCTCTATGTGAGTGCATGCACATGTTTGAATGTGTGTGTGATATATATGTGTGAATATGTGTGTATGAGTGAGTGTAAGTGTATGAGTGTATGTGTCCATGTATGTGAGAGTGTATATGTGAGTGTGTGGTTGTCTGTGTGACTCTATGTGTGTGTGTGCTGTGTATGATTGTTTGGTATATCTCTCTGTGTATATAAGTGTGTGGGCACATGTTTGAATGTGTATGTGTGATATGTGTGAATGAATGAATGAATGTGTGTGCATGTATATGCATGTGTGTCCATGTATTCAAGAGTGTATATGCAAGTGTGCATTTATCTGTGTGACCATATGTGTGTATGCCATCTGTGTGATTGTGTATTGTATCTGTGTGTGAATGTGCATACCATGTGTTTGAGTGTGTATGTGTGGTATTTCTACATGAATGTGTCAGTATGAGTGAGTGTATGTGTGTGTGCATGTGTGTGTGTCCATGTATGTGAAAATGTGTGCACACAAGTATGTGTTTATCTGTGTGATCTTGTGCCCAGGAAGGGCTGTGTTCTATGTGAGCCTTGGGGGGGAGCCCCTCTCACTTTCCTGTCCCTTCGCATCTCACCCTCCCTCATTAGCCTTCCTTGTCATCCCCATAAGGGGACAAACAAAATTGGCAGGTATGGGAGTAGCCTGAGCAATTCCTTGCCCACAACCCCTCAGGCTACCAGTACTGGTTTATCCCTTTTTGAAAGAAAATGTTCATGTTTGAAAATCCTTAAATGCTTGAGAATAAGATCCCTTCCTGCCTCTCAAAGAAGAAACGAGGTGCCCCCGCCCACCACAGGCACTTTCCCTGACCGCAGACTGGGCCTGCTGTGCTCATGTGGGTGCCTGGGTTCCTTTGTCATGTGATCTCTGTGCTAGGCAGGCCAAGGTCTGTCCCCCACTTGATATAAACTCATGAAGGCAGATTCTCCCGCTACGTGTCTGGCTCCAACCTCACTGTGCACAGGGACCTAGCTCAGGGCCTGGACGGCAGCAGCTGCTTAATCAAAATGGACCTGCCAAAAGAAGGGTGGTGATGTCCCAGAAATGCCCCCATGCCATCTGCTGAAAACATTTAGAACCATCTAGAAAAGCCATACATGAGCTCAGAATCCAGCACCCTGTGAGCGACGCCCTGCTCCGTCTGTGCATTGGCACCTCAGTGCCACAGGTGATAAACTTCAGAGAATTTGAACTACTGCAGACATCCTCACCCCAATTTAAAGTCACAAAAATCACAGAGACAGATTTTCTGCAACAGTTCCTCTGAGACAGTCCTTTAAACAGATTAAGGGGTTCAAATGGCTGCCTGTCTCATCAAGGCCTCAAGCAAAGCCATTTGCCTTGTCCAAGCACTTCTCCTGCAGGGGCTCCGGTTAGAGCCAAACCGCTTCTGCTCTGCCACCTGGTGGCCACTTGATGTCCAAGTCACACCTTTAAAAACAATTTTTTAAAAAAAAAATCGTTTATTTGAAGTAGACAAGTATATTATTTATTCATTTTTTAGGGTTTTTAAAAATGTATTTTATTTTTTGTTGTTGTGAATCTACACAACAGAACAGACACCAATTCAACTGTTTCTCCATGTACAATCCAGTGACATTGGCAACTTTCTTCTAGTGCAACCATTCTCTCCCTCGTTTTTCAAGTTGCTCCTCCTCCATTAACATGAATTCACTACTACCTAAGCTTCCTACCAAAACTTTCAAGTTGCTGTGGTCAATTTGATCCCATACAGACAGTTCTTAAAAGAGCACGATGCTGGAGGCAAAAACCAAAGAACCAAACACACTGCCGTGGAGTCGGACCTGAATCATAGCGACCCTTCCTTGGGTTGCAGAGGCAGTATCACTATGGAAGTAGATTGCCTAACCTGCCTTCCAAGGAGTGGCTGGTGAGTTTGAACTGCCAGACTTCTGGTTAGCAGTCAAATGCCTTAGACACTGTGCCACCAGAGCTCTCATGTTAGAGGCAGACATTCTTTATTAGTTAAACAAACTATTGTTTGGTTTTAAGAAGAAGTGAGGGATATGTTTGGTTCAAGGTTTAAAGATGATCTCAACGCAATGGTTTCAGGGGTTCATCCAGCCTCCATGGCTCAAGGAAATCTGGCTTCCACAACAATTTGAACTTTGATGAGGAGACCCTCAAATACCAAACCAAAAAGACCAAATCAACTGCCAGAGAGTCAATTCTCTCACACAACGCCCCTAGAGGACAGAGTAAAACCAAATCAAACCAAACTCGCTCCTGTCGAGTAGGATCTGACTCATAGCGACCTCTCCTTGGGTTTCCGAGGTGGTATCACTATGGAAGTTGATTGCCCAACCTTCCTTCTGAGGAGTGGCTGGTGGGTTTGAACTGCCAGCTTTCTGGTTAGCAGTCAAATGCCTTAGGCATTATGCCACCAGAGCCACCAGAGGGTTTCCAAGGCTGTCAATATTTACAGAAAGCCACTGTCCCATCTTTCTCTTGCTGAGCAGCTGGTCAATTTGAACCACTGACATTTTGGTTAGCAGCTGAATGCTTTAACCACTGTGCCACCAGAACTCCGTGTCTCACCAACAGTATGATGGGATGAAGGCAAAACTTTTTCCTGAAAGGGGATCAAATTGATTCCTGGCTTGAACAACCCTCTTCTTTTTAGAAACTCTGGAGGGAAAATCTGCTAGAAGGAAAATCTGACTTAAAACTTTGAAAACAATTTAGTACCTGCTGAGCCTCAGGTGGTCTAATCCACCAGAGACACCTCACAAGAAAGCCCTAGCCATCTACTACCACCACCAATTGCTGTCGAATAGGTCAAGGTGGAACCAGCCACTAAAAACCATGTGGAGCACAACTCTACTCTGGCATGCAATCATCAGTCTGGTCATCAGCAAATGGTTTGTGTAGGCAAGGTCCAGAACCCTTGGATCCATGCTTAGTCCAGCTCCAGTACAATTCTGGAATTTTCTGTGGCTTCAAGGCAGGGCTGAGAAGAGTAGTGGCTAAAGGGGCAGGAAGGGAGGATAGAGGACAAGAAACTCAGAATTCCGTAACGGACAGACATGGTGCCCACACAGCTCACTCCCAAGAGCCTTCCTGCCCTGAGCCCACTCTGTCTCCCCACTTCCATCTTAAGGAAGCTGCCAGACCACCAGCCCACCCTGGGCACATATCAGGACACGGATCAGTGCCTCCAAGCACAACACCTGCCTAGGGCAGGCAGATATGTGCCCCTTGCACTGGGAGGCGGAGGTTCTTCCCACTGTCATCTCCATCTGATCCCACATCTGTGTTCTCCAGCACCTGGCCTGAGCCCCCCACTTCTCCCTTTCTGGTCCTCTTGCTGTCTCCAGGCCCCTCATGGACAGCTCCTTCCTCCACCCCCACCCCCAAACAATCAATAACTCTTCCAGGAGGTTTTTGGAGTTTCACACAAGCTCACACTCAGGTGGCTACAACAGTGGGGTTGGAGGGCAGGGAGCAGGGAGGGAGTGGGGGGTGCTGGGGGCCATGTCCCTTCCAGAACTGTGCTTTCCTGCATAGCCCATTTGTTGGCGTCCATGCCTCAGGGAGCCTCATGAATGCCCAGTGCTCTTTGGGGTAGTGTTCTGGCTGCCCACATGTTCCGCCACCATCAGACACTTCCTTGGTAGCCCTTAGTAAGTGGACTCAGTAGCCCAGCCCACCCTCAAAAGCATGGAGGGGGGGGAGTGATGCAGTAGTCTGGGGGAGGGGCACGTGGCAGGGGGTGTGGAGGGAGCATGGAAGCGGGGGTGCTGCAGTCTGGGCTTCCTTCCCAGAGTATAAGGGACGACTGTGGCCAGGAACTGGCCTTGCATGGAGGCCGGAAACCACAGGCACAGGGAGGGGGATAAAGGTGGGACCTGAAGGCCAGGTACCACCTCCCCCCCAAGGATGGGCCTGCTGCAGTTCCTGCTAATCCTGGGGCTGAGCCTGGCTGCTTCCCAGAATCTCGACCTCAGCAAGGTCGTGCACAAGAATTACAACATGGCCAAGGTGGGTCTAGGGGCTGGACCAGGCAGCTCTTCCCCCTAGGCCCGGGTATCTGATCTCCAGCAAGATTGACAGCTCCCCGGAGGCTCAACCCCAGCCCCAAGGACCCAGAGCCCCTCCGCCCACTGGATCTTCTATTGTCAGGTCTCAGGTGTCTGGTACTCCATCTCCATGGCCTCCAGCAACCTAAGTCGAATCCAAAACAACGGGGACCTGAGAGTCTTCATTGAAAGTATTGAAAGCTTAAAAAATGGTAGTCTGAAATTCAATTTCCACTTCATGTGAGTGGACCAGAGGGACTCTGGGAGGTAGGGGTGGGGAAGAGACAGGCAGGAGGGGAGAAAGGGTGCTGGGGATGTGGAAGACAACAGAAGGCCTAGACTTGGGTCACTTGAACTTGGGACCAGCTGGTGACCTGAGCCAGTCTCATGGCTCTGGCCAGATGTCTTCCCTGTAAAATGGGTTGAAAGTGTCAACTCCTCCAGAAGCCATGGGAGGGGAGATGGTCTGAGAGAGCCAGAGCCAAGGACATTTGGACGTGGGAATCCTGTGGGTTAGAACAGGAAGCTCTCTGCAGGCTGGATGCACAGAGGCTGTGGGCTGATGGCCGCAGCCCTTGCATTGCCTCCAAGCCTCAGGCTAGCTTGTCTCAGGGTGCAGGGGCAGTGTGAGCCAGTGACTGTAGTCTGTGAGAAGAAGGAGAGCAACGACAGATACACCATTGACTGTAAGTGAATGACTTTCTAAAGTCCTCTTTTCTCAAGACAAGGACACCCCCCCCCCCTTCTCAGGCCAGATAAGAGCTGATTTAGCTGACTTCATTGGGACCCTGGGCATTGGGCCCAGGAAGCAGGGCAGGTGTGTATCAGGTGGGGGCAAGAGGGAGCATTGAGTGTGCAGATGATGGAGGGTGGGCGATGCCACCACTGCCACTGCTGCCCACCTCTGAGGATCCCCACCTACGTGGGCGCTGTGTCCACAAACTTGACTTCTCAATGCCAGCCACACAGCACAGAAGCACACTGTAGTGATGCTATGGCAGAGGCCAGCAGATCTGAGCTGGGGTATCCTCACAGATGAGGGCGAGAACGACGTGCTCATCCTGGAGACTGACTACATTCTCTATGTCACCTTCTATCTGCGTAACGTCAGGGATGGTGCTGAGACACGGGTGCTGGCACTCTATGGTATCCTCCTTCACGCCCCCTCCAGAGTCTTCCCTGACCCTCCCTGATCACCCCTACCAGAATTTATGATACCTTTCCTGACCCCTCCAGGGTCTACAATACCCTTCCTGACCCCTCTCTCAGAGTATATGGTACCCCTCCCTGACCCCCCTAGGGTTCTATGGTTGTCCCAGCTGCTTGGGGGAATAGCCAGGGTTACCAAGGATCCCTCCTCCTGTGGACAAAGGTCTCGCCATGACCTCAAGTTCTGGCCAGAGGCCCCCTGCTTCTCCAGTGCCATGCTGGCAGGGTGAGGGGCCCAGTGAGGACCCCAGCCATTGCCATCTGTCCCAGGACGGGTCCCGGAGCTGAGCCCCATCTTCCTGGACAGATTTAGGAAAACGTGCCAAAAATATGGACTCGGTCCAAATGACATCATCAACCTGAACTACTTAGGTAGGTATCCCTGCTCTCAGTCCTTGTGCCGATGCCAGGACCCCGAGGAGTCTGTGAGCAGGGGTGATGGTACAAATGCCCACAGCCCGGGCTGAGAGCTCCACCCATTCTCTCTGGCCCCCAGAACCCTGCTATAGATGAAGGCAATAGAGGAGCAGCAAAGGCCCCTCCGGTGAGCAGTTCTAGGGCACAGGGTGGGGCTGGGGGGGCAGTACAGGAGGCAGGGGAGCACTGGAAAGGAGCACTGAGGATGGAGGGGCATGGGGGCAGAGGGCAGGGGACAGGGGGAGGCAACACAGTGGGTGGAGACAGCACGGGAGGGGCAGGAAGAGGCAGTATGGGAGGTGGGGGGAGGCAGCATGGGAGGTGGGAGACAGCACCTGGTGGGGGACAGCCCTGGTGGCAGGGTAGGCACTGGGAGGGGACTGTGGGGGGTGCATTGGGGGTGCTAAGTAGAAAGCTGGATGGAGCTGGTGAGAGACTAACATCCATGATGGCCACTTGAGCCTCTTCTGGGAGCACACCCTTCCTGCAGGTACCCCTGGGCAGGAGAGTTTGGGGTCTGAGCAGAGACAACACCAGACCTGGGTGAGCTTCCTGGGGCTCCACAGCAGAGACCTCAGCAGAAAAGGCAGGGTTATTTTCTCAGGCTCTGAGGCTCTAGAGGAGGATCTGTCCTTGTTTCTTTCAGCTTCTGTGGCTGCCTCTTGAGACCATATGCTTCCATATCACGTGGCCCTCTTCCCTCTGTGTCTGTCTTTTTATGAGGACACCTGTCATGGGATTTGGGTCCTGCCCTCCTCCAGGATGACCTCACCTGGAGATCTTTGCCTTCCCCACATCTGCAAAGACCTTACTCCTAATCAGATCCCATTCACAGGTTATGAGGTTTAGACATGGATGTGGTTTTGGGGGCCCCCATTTACCTACCCCAGACCCCTTCTCCAAGCCTGTCCCCCCCCACTCAGGATCAAGCCAGGCCCTCCATCCTCCACACCAGCCAGGCCTGTCCCCCCTGCTCTCCACATTTGTCCCTTCTGAAGGCATCTCCATATATGGTTCCAGTCCCATGGGGTCAGAGGGCCAGGTGGGGAGTAGGAAGGTGACAGTGCCTGCCCTTCTCTCCCTGGGTTCTTGTTCTCCTGAGACAGTCAGCAGCAGCAGCGACAGTGGGGCAAGTGCCACTCCCTCCACTACCCCCTCCACCACAATTAATGTTTTGGTGACTACAAAGGCAATACTAGCCAATCTGTGGTTATTTTGTGGATTAAAGGTGATTGTCCATTACCAATCTTCTTATTTTATGGATCAAAGGAGATTATCTACTGGGCATTTATTCCAAAAACACAAAAACTTTTGTTACAGCAAAAAACCTCCATGCAAATGTGCACAACAGCTCCATTCATAACAGTCAGAACCTGGAAAGGACCTGAAGTCCCCCAGCGGGGAACAGCCCACCCACACCCCTCAGTGGAGAACAGCCCACTTGACATGGCCCACCAGTGAACAGCTGACCAAACTGGGGCATCCATGACAGAGGGCTGACAACTTAGCACAAAGGGAACTACTGCTGGTGTGCCTGCCCCCTGGGCAGGTGGCAGGGGACTGTGCTGAGTGGGGGAGGTTGTGGTTACATTCCATCTGAGCCCATCTCCAGGATGTTCTTAAAATGACAAAGTTATGGAAATGGAGAATGAACTAGTGGCTGCAGGATAAGGGGTTGTGAAGTGGGAAGGAAGTGGGCATGGTGATGAATTGGCACCAAGAGGGATCCTCACGAGGATGGATGAGCTCTGTCAACTCTGGTGGTGGACACACAAACAATCACATGCAAAAAATTGCATACAACTAACATACACTTTCACACACACATGCATACACACACACATGAGGATATTTGCACAGGTGTGTGCACATACACACATGTGCCAACATGTGCACACAAGACCTCAGGTGCACACATGCATGTGCACCCACTTGCAGACACACACATATGCTTGTGTGCACATGTACATATGCACATGTGTGTGTGCACATGCACATGTAAATGTACACATGCATATGCACACACAACACCACACACATCACACATATACACACAAATCCTACACACATCACATGCTCACACCACACCCCCCCACCATACACATATCACACATACACACATATTACACATATACACTCAAATCCTATACACATCATATTCTCAAATCACACACACTACCAAGCACATATCACATATACCACACATCATACATACACACACAAACCCTACACACATACATACACTCATACACACCATCACCATCATCACCACTTGTGGTGATTATGTTTGCGTGTCAGTTTGGCTGGGCCTGGTTGAGTGGCTGGGCAGCTGGTGGTAGTTATGCCCCATGATGAGACTGGCAATCAACTCTATGGTGGGATCCACCACAAGCAGCTCAGTAGCTGCTTTGGGTATGTGGTCTGCTTCCTGTATATAAGAAGCAGCTTTGGGAATGGTCTCTGTCTAGCACATGGCATGCTTGTACCCTGCATGTAGCCATGCTGTTGTTCAGCAGCCCACCATGCTTTGCCGACCTTGGGACTTACAATGAACTTGAATTAATGGCCTGCCATGTGGTTTGGTAACATCAGGACTATGCCCTTTTACTTGTCAACCTTGGGCTTCTCAGCCTCAGCAGCCAGCAGCTGTCTGAGTGAAGAAATGCCTCTAGCTCCAGTGGGCCAGGAGCAGGAGGCAGAACTGGACCCCAAGGTTGAGGGGCTTTCACCCAGCCCCTAGAGTCTGGCACTTTGAACTTGGACTTAAAGTCTCCAAATTGTGAGAGAATGAACTCCTGTTTGTTAAGGCCATCCCATTTGTGGTATGTTCCTGTCAGAGTGGCACTAGGTAACCAGAACACCACCTCACAAGACTGGCACAAAAAGAGACTGTGTTTGGTCTCACATCTGAAAGGTGCAGGGACAGAGCTGCCCCCAGGCAGGACCACATCCCAGGGCCCAAGTCCCTCCCTCCATGGGCCTCCCAGCCTTGGCCCCTCCTCAGGCCCCACAAACCAAAAACAAACCAAACTCACTGCCGTTGAGTCAGATCTGACTCATAGCAACCCCTCCTTGGGTTTCTGAGGTGTGGTATCACTACGGAGCTCTGGTAGTGTAGTGCCTGAGGCACTTGACTGCTAACTAGAAGGCTGGCAGTACAAACCCACCAGCCACTCCTTGGAAGGAAGGTTGGGCAATCTACTTCTGTAGTGATACCGCCTCAGCAACCCAAGGAGGGGGCATTATGAGTTGGGTCCGACTCCACGGCACATAACAACAACAATCACTACGGAAGTAGATTGCCCAATCTTTCTTCCAAGTGGTTGGTGGGGTGCCTTCTTGTTAGCAGTTGAATGCCTTAGGCACTACGCTACCAGAGGCTGCCCTAGCTCTCCTCCCATTTCCCAGTGCAGTGACAGGCACCCAGGCATCCCTCAGAGGCCTCTGGGTCCTGGCCCTCCCTGGTCTGTAAGCCAGGAGGGTCCCTGGGCCTCCCGTGGTCACAGTGGAGTCAGCTTTGTCCAACCCTAGTGGCTGAGAGGATGAGTGGGAAATGGGGTGCTGTGGTAAACGAGTTGCTGTGAGAAACGGGCTACTTTGGGAAACAAGGCACTGTGGGAAACAGGACACTATGGAAAACCGGGAGCTGTAGGAAATGGGGCACTGTGTGAGACAGGGTGCTGTGAAAAACAGGGCACTGTGAGAAACAGAGCATTAATAGGATGGAGAGGGAAAAATCATAGATGATATAATTATATGGAAAATACCCAACATAACCTGCAGATAAATTCTTCAAATTTAAGAAGTGAGTGTAGAACAGTGAGTGGCTAAAGGATCGACACACAAAAATCAGCTATATCTGTATGTGAGCAATGTCAAGGGTAACAACTATCACTCAGGTAAAGGGACCACTTTGCCTCAGTGTTTTCACTGTTGACCAGAGTAAAGCTCTTAGGAGAACGGTAGGGTCAGTGAGATCCCTGGTTAGAGGTTAGGGGAGAGGAGGCTGGCTGCTCTACCCCAGGGCAGACCCACAGCCCTACAGGAGAGGTTCACCTGTGTGCCCTTCAGAGGGGTCGTGAGAGCTGGCTATGACCCTTGGGTGACTGTAATACAGTGTGTCATGCAAGTCCAGGAGGAAGAGGGCTGGGCTGCCTGTCCTTTCCCATTCACCTGCTCACAGAATCCCTTTACTTTCAACTTTTTTGTATCCTTATCTTTTTGTAATGTAATTGAACTTTTTTTTCTGTCCAGCCTGACAATCTTTCTTCTCATTGGATCATTTTGGTGCATTTATATTTCATGTAATTACTGATCTATTTGGGCTTGAATTTATCATCTTATTATTTTCTCTCCATGTGCCTACCTGTTGTTGTATGTTCTTTTCTCTCCCTTCTTGCCACCATCGGGATTATGTGTATTACTCCATTTTCCTCTTCATTGGCTTATGTTTACACACTCTCCTACTTGTCTACTAGTGGGTACTCTACAGCAAGGGTGGCAAACTTTTTCTGTAAAAGGCCAGATGTTGTGTTGTTGTTGCATAGCAACAATAGTTATATGCCTTTGAGTCAAACCCGACTCATAGCAACCCTTCCTTGGGTTTCTGAGGCGGTATCGCTACAGAAGTAGATTGCCCAACCTTCCTTCTGAGGAGTGGCTGGTGGGTTTGTACTGCCAGCCTTCTAGTTAGCAGTCAAGTGCCTTAGGCACTACACTACCAGAGCTCCCAAAAGGCCAGATAGTAAATATTTTATGCTCTGTAAACCATACAATATCTATCACAACTACTCAATTCTGCCATTGTAGTGCAAAAGCAGTCAGAGACAATATGTCAATGAATAAGCATGGCATCGGGAGCTCTGGTAGCATAGTGCCTAAGGTGCTTGACTGCTAACTAGAAGGCTGGCGGTTCAAACCCACCAGCCACTCCTCGGAAGGAAGATGGGGCAATCTACTTCCATAGTGATACCGCCTCGAAAACCCAAGGAGGGTCATTATGAGTCAGACTCAACTGGACAGCAGTGAGTTTTAGTTTTGAGTTATGTTCTAATAAAACTTTATCTACAAAAACAGACTGTGGGCTGGATTTGACCTATGGACCTCTTTATCAACTCCTTCTTCAATGATTACTATGTGCACTTTGACTTATCAATTATCCTTTGGTGTATTCTGCAGTTGTTGGATGTAGTGTTCTGTGATTGACACTTGGGGGTAGAGTGTTTCAGGCAGAGGAAACAGTCTATGAGAAGGTTCCTAGGCTGGAGAGGACCTGGTGTACTTGAGGAATGACAAATGAGGAAAGACATGTGAGTGTGGTGTCCTGGAAGCCACGTGGAAGAAGTGTCCCATGGAGGGGTCAGCCTGGGCAAAGGCTGCTAAAGTCCAGCAAGGGAGGACTGAAAGTGAGCCCTGGGCCTAGACAGTGGAGGCTGTGGTTGTGGGGGTGAGTGCAAGTGGATGGTAAACCAAAAAAAACCAAACTCATTACCACGAGTCGATTCGACTCATAGCAACCCCCCCTTGGGTTTCCGAGGCAGTATCTCTACAGCATAGTGCCTAAGACATTTGACTGCTAACCAGAAGGCTGGCGGTTCAAACCCACCAGCCACTCCTCAAAAGGAAGATTGGGCAATTTACCTCCATAGCGATACCACTTCCATAGCGATACCACCTTGGAAACCTAAGGAGGGGTCGCTATGAGTTGGATCTGACTCGAGGGCAGTGAGTTTTATCGGCAGTGAGTTTTATCACTATGGCAGTAGATTGCCTAATCTTTCTTCCAAGGAGTGGCTGGTGGGTTTGAACTGCCAGCTTTCTGGTTAGCAGTCAAATGCCTTAGGCACTATGCCACCAGAGCTCCTAAGAGACTGTAAGTGCCCACAACTCCTTCAGGGAGTTCTGCAGCACCGAAGTGGGCCATCAGGGTCATTACTGCCATTGAGATAGGAACACGGAGGCCCAGGGACCTAAGGACACAGGCACTGTGTCCCCAACCCACCCTCCACATCTCCCATCAACCCAAGAAATCCAGAATTCAGTACCAGGTCCAGGTAGCCCAGTAGGGAATGGCTCTGGAACCAGCCCAGAGCTAGGACAGGGGTGTACACCCACTCATTCTAGCTCCCTCTGTCCAACACTCTTTCTCCTTCTCCCAGCCCTGGCCTCACTTTGTTCTGCTCACCTGTTCCACCTCCAGGTGCACACACACACACACACACAGAGAGAGAGAGAGAAAGTGCCCCAGAAGTCCTTCCCTGACCAACCCCACAGTGTGGCCAAGGCCCAAGCCCATTTCACAGGCTTGGCAGACAGCGAGGTCTCACCTTCCCTGAGGCAATCTGCTGAGCCCTGGATGCAGTGGGCATTTGGAAGGAGAATTCAAGGGCACAAGTTTCTGCCATGTCACTGAGGACCTGAGTGAGTTGATTATTGGAGCGGCTCTGTGTAATATCCATATACTAGAAGCCAGCCTGGGGTCACAGTCTGTTCTTGAAAAGGAACTCTGAAAATTGCGTTATTGCCCAGAGGCACTGATTGGGACTTCTGGCAAGTGGCAATACAGACACCGTGGACCTAGGATTCAACAAATAGAATGTAATTGTGGAGAGCAGGAGGGGCTGGCAACAGTACACCATGTGGCTGCCCCTCCCCCTCAGGGGACAAAAGGGCCACCAGCCACTATCTGGGACACACATCTGTGGCACTTCCCGGTTGTCCCTTGGCCACTCCATCCTGCCATGGCTTTCTTGTAGCTGGCAGTGGGACTGAGCTTGCTTGGCAGCCCCCAGGCCCACCATGTGAACTCCCAATTCCAGTTCACTGGTCCCCAGAACCCCAACTTCAAAGAGCAGCTGATAGTCAGCCACAGGTGTCAAGAGAGAGGGGATAAGTGACTGGGAGGCAGGATGGAATTTCGAGCAGGGGGACTGTGGAGACCCAAGTGGCCCCCAGCCCCAGCTGCACCTCCCATCTCCCCCTCCTTGCAGATCTTAGGCAAGTGGTTCTCAGTAGTAGTGGCCTCCAACACATCAGCTTGGATCCAGCTGCATGGGGACATAAGGTTCTTCATCTACACCATCCAGATGAATGCCACAGACCTACAGTTCCAACTCCATGAGAGATAAGTCCTCCAAAGGGAGTGCCAATGGCCCTAGGCCCAGGTAAGTTCTCGTTGCCATCACCCACAAGCCCAGGACCTCCTCAGGGCCATCTTCCAGGCTTTGAAGGGGTAAGGGAGACCCAGAAGTCAGTGGTGATTCAGGGTGGGTGGGGTCTGCTGCCTTGACAGGGACACAAGTGTCAGGAAGTCCAGGGGGGCCTAGAGGTCTCTTGCTCCACTGAGGGACTCCAAGGATCACACCTGAGCTGCCCCAGGGCACCGGCTCCAAAGGTTTCATCACCCCTCCCAGGGAAAAGGGCATTTGTCCCACTCCCAATGACTATGCATAAGACACAGAAGCACTTCCAGTACCTGCTGGACCACGAATATAGATCCTGGCCAGTGTGAGCAGTAAGCCCCAAGCTTGGGTGGCATCAGCCACATCAGAGCCCTGGGATGGACACAGTCATGCGCTCTTTGCGGTGGGTGAGTGGAGTGACCCAGAAAGTGTGAGATACAGACAGGAGGCTGTACCCCTGTCCTCATCCTGCCTGCGCATGGCTGGTCATCCGGCACCATCGTGGACCATGGCTTTTCTGGATCCACAGGCACAGGTGACAACATGATCTACATGGAGCAAGTGAAACTCCAGCACTTCTTGCTTTTCTGTACCCACAACCAGAACTATGAGGAGGAGACAGTGGTGGCAGACTTCTACAGAGATTGCCCACCAAAGACCCCTGCTTCAGTGTGCAAACCCCAGCCTACTCAGACTGTCTCAGCAAAACCAGCTATCTGGGGCCCAGGGAGGAGCTGAGGGTTCTGGGAGAAATGCAGGGGAGACAGAGAGGATGCAGGGGACTCAGAGATGACATCGAGGACTCAGGGAGGATGTGAGGCCTTCAGGGGCCCAGGGGGCTGAAGTTAACAGGAGAAAGGAGGGAGTCTGGCCAGCCACTTATCACCAGCCATCTTAAGCCCATTTGGGGACAGAAGAGTTATAAATTATGAAATAAATACAGCTAAACAGGCACATGTGCCTGCAGCCCAAATCCCTTTCCTTGCCCTTTCCATCTTCTTTAGCTTCAAAAATACACAAGGTAAGCAAAATTTGAGGACAAGCCCCTAACTCTACCACCTTCTGTGGAGGAGGGTGGCTTCTGCTTCTCCCTGGCAGTCTTGTGGACAGGGACACATTGCTGCAAAACTATAAGCCCAATATCTGTGTCCAAATGTCTCAGGCCTGCTGGCATCCCATCCCCCACCCCCAAGTGTCACTGATCTCCAGCAAATACAAAAGAAGCAGGGCAGATGAATGTGTCTGTGGGTGCCACGAACGCTGCCTTCCTCTCTCTTAGCTTAAGGAGCTCCGGTGCCATGGTAGGTAAGACATTAGGCTGCTAGCCAGGTCAGCAGTTCAAACCCACGAGCTGCTCCATGGGAGGAAGATGAGACAATCTACTTCCATAAAGATTTACAGCCTTAGAAACCCAATGGACATCACTATGAGTTGGAATCGACTCGATGTCAGTGTGTTTGGGGTTTTTTGTTTGTTTGTTTGTTTGTTTTTTGGTAACAACATGGTGGAATCAGGAGATGTTGGTGCTGTTAGATGTTCAAATGTCATAATGCCTAGGATGGCACCGCCATGCTGGGTCCCAAACTTCAGGACTAAAGTTCTGATCATCCAGGAGCTCCAGCTACTCTCACTGGACATCTTCTCCTGTCACCTTGCCTCATGGTCCTTGCTTTACTCAATGTCTGCTGCCGGCTGGACATCAGACAGCTCACCTGCTGGTCCTGCGGGTAGAGCAATGTTGGGGTGGACATGCCCGTCTTAACCTCACAGCCATGCTGCTGGCCAGGCAGTACGAGGGGCTATGCCAGGAACTTTCGGCCGGAGCTCCTGCCTTTGGGCGACGACACGCTGGGGTCACTTCTTGGGTGCCAGACTTGGGACCTGAACATGATGTGGACCTCAGTGGACATTCCCGTGGGTGGCTTCTCTTCCCTTTAAACAAGCTTGTGGGGAACCCACACCCTAGCAAACATTTTCTGTGTCCTAGCCTCTCAGTCAACAAGGAACCAACAAACAGACAGGCACACAGGGCCCACAATCACCAGCAAGAGGAGCCCGCTCTGGACACTGAGCTGGTCCTGGTAGGCCCTCACCTCCTCTCAGGTACAGGGCCTGAAGTCTTGCTCCCTGAACCCGAGCAGGTCATAGGCAGCCCCTGTTCCCCCAGTGATGCCTGTACTCCCATGTAAAAGGGACAAAGTCTCCAAGCACCACCACCACCACCACCACCCCGCATGGCTGGGATTCAAAACATCTGCCCAACAGATCCTGGTGTAGGCTCCATACTAGGGAGGTAGGCAGGGCCATGTGCATAATCTCTGCCTCCTGAGAGGGCTTGGAGAAGTGACAGGTACAGGTTCCCAGGAAGCTGTAGGTACCCTAGAGATGACAGCTGGATGGCTGTCCTGCTTAGACAGACGCAGACATCCACTATGTGTCAGCTAGCTCCGTGCCAGCTGTTGCCCACCAGGAACTGCCAGCTCAGAGACTCCAGCTGGATGGAGCTCCTCACCCTGCCGTGGGCAAGGCCACACTCATGTTCTCAGCTGCATACTCTGCTGGAGGCAGGAGGGCCACAGTGGTCAAGCCCAAGGGCACAAGGTTATCAGCTAAGCAAAATTCATTCCCATGGTCTGAAGGGGGGAAGAGAAATAGACCTCCTTGTATCCATCAGCAAAGCTAAGAGGTCTCACAGTGCCCCCAATGTGACTGTGAAGGTGGTGTCAGGAGTCCTGGATCCCAGAGTCACCGTGTCACTGTGAGCTCTGCCATCCCACCCTTGAGGCTTAGTTCACACAACCTGTACCCTTAGCACTCTGCCTTTCCCACCCAGGCAGGGGGTTCAGAGAGGGCCCTCTGTCCTGCCTGGAGTGTCCGCTCACCCATTTCTTCCCCCTTGGTTGGCCCCCATCCTGTCCTTCAGGAGGCTGTTCAGTTCACCGTCCTTCCTTCTCCCATAGATGTTGAAAGGAGACAAAGACTTTCCTCCAGAGCCGACACAGATAGAAAGTCTTCCTCTAGAGCTGGCACCCGGAATTTGGACTTCTAGCCTCCTAAGCTGTGAAACAATACATTTCTGTAGTTAAAGCCGTCCACTTGTGGTATTTTTGTTATAGTGGCACTAGATACAACACTTCCCAGTACTTGCTATTTTCTGTTTTTCTGATGAAAGCCATCCTAGTGGGTATGCCGGACCTCTGGCATTTAACTGCTAACCAAAAGGCTAGTTCAAACACACAAGCCACTCCTTAGAAGGAAAATTGAGCAATCTACTTCCTTAGAGATTAGAGATACCACCTCGGAAACCCAAGGAGGCGTTGTTATGAGTTGGAATCTATTCAACAGCAATGGGTTGGGTTGGGTTTTTTTAGTGTGTTTGCAGTGGTGTCTCACTGTGTGTGGTCAAATAAGTTTCTTTATGTGACCTTTTGTCTTGGTTCTTCAGAAAAACAGCTTGAGAGAATTTTCCCCTAAGCCTTGAAGAGTTACCTTTGTTTCCAACCCCTGAAGTTTTGTTACTTTTGTGCAGGCTGATCAATGTTTCCTGGGTAGCTTGTAAATAACTTGTTTTTGATATTTTTTGTCTGGTCCTGGACTGTAGCCTGTCCTTTGATGGGTCAATAAACTATGCAAATGAGATGCCTGTAACCTACTATGCAAATAAAGTGTCTGTGGCCTATTGAGAGGAGATTGGTCAGTTTGTGGCTCTGGTAGGAGTGTCATGCCTTGAAATTGACAAGGAGTTTGTGTGTTTAAGCAGCTAACCCCACAGAGGTTTTTCAGACAGAAAAAAGCAGGAAGACAAGCAGAAGGAAGAAGAGAGAAATGCAGAAGAAGAGAGGAGCCAAGGAACCTCCTAAAGGAATTGTAACAATTAGGGGGTATTGTAGTCAATGTCATGAAACAAAATGTGTATGAATTACTATATGGAAAGTGAATTTGCTCTGTAAACTTTCACTCATATCACAATAAATTTTTTTAAAAAATATACAAGAACTGTAATATGGGTCAAGGGCTGTAACACTGAAGATGGTAAGAGATCCAGAAGGGGCCCAGAAGCAGAGCTGAGCTGAGAGGGGCCTATCCTAAGGGGGCCAAGAGGAGCTTGTCCTGAGAGGGCCGACAGAAGGCCTGCATGCTTGAGAGGAGCTGAGAGAGTCGTCCTGTACTGAAGAATGGAGACTTTGCCTACATGCTTCCTGATCCTGATCCCTAGTTGCACCCTGTTATTTCCTTAATAATCCATTTTAAACTGTATGTACAGTTGGTGAGTTCTGTAAGAAATTGCAAATTGCCATACCCAAATGCAGAAGGGAGGAGTGCTGAGTGGAGGAAGGGTGGCCAGTGTCAGAGATGAAGTGATACAGCAGTTTGGAGAATGGCAGTCTGGGATATACTTGACCTCTGCCTCATAGGAATTGGCGTTGTGCTGATTCCTGTATTTGAAGTTATTCACACATTGTGGTTTTAATTTGCAAGTTGGAATCAATTCAACAGCAACTGATTTTTAATGACTTGGTGGCAGTGAGTTTGGTTGAAGTTGACCATCTTTCCATGTGCGTATTGGCCATTTGTATATATATCATCTTTTGTGAAATGTCTATTCAACTCCCTTGTCCATTTTTTAATTGAGTTGTCTTTTTGTTGTTGAGTTGTAGGACTTCTTTATTATTCTGGGTATTAAACACTTATCAAATATTTGTTTCCCAAATATTTTCTCTCATTCAGTAGGTTGTCTGTTTGCTTTGTTGATAAAGCCCTTTGATGTAATGTTTTTAATTTTGATGAAACCAAATTTACCTTTTTTTTTTTTTGTCTTTTGTTATTCTTGCTTTTGATGACAGCTAATATTTTTTAAATTAGATCACACCATACAAAATGTTGACACCTCTCTTGTCTTTACCTAAAATGCTCATGGACTTCAACCTCTGCCAGTACATGTAGAT